TTGTGTAGTTGGGCTCTATTTCCTTTTCTGCAGTAGTACATAATAATTGCAATTTACTGCTCCTTCTAATAATGTCATTCTATTAGTGGTGGTAAATCTACAAATCTTTAGCTTAAAACACTAAAACCAATTTGGAAGAACAAGTATTTAAAACGTAAAAGTCACATCAAAACGCTGCTATAATATGCAGAAATACACTAGATTTTCTCTTTAAAATAAATTAGGTGGACTGTCTTCAGAACATTTGCAGTGTGTCTTGGCCACATTTGCAGTTCACTAGTTTCATTTTAACCCTGGAGTTGCTGTGTAAGTAACCTCATTTAGCAAACAGAGGTGAGGAGAGGTCAAACCAAGTCACTTTCCATGGAAAATCACTTTACAAATTCATATTTTCGAATAATCTACAAACATTCAGGTCACAATTTGGGCATACTATGATGGAATATTGTTTTATTGGTTTAAGTAATTCATAACTTTACTCAGTAGTCTAACGATTTAACAATATATCCAAATCATCAATCAGATTTTAGAAATAGCACCACTGTGTTGTATATAACTATGGCTATGGTGACATCATGTGGTTACATTTGGTATTGCTAGTCTATGATATTCCAATCCTTTTCTATATCTTATCTTATTTCAGGTTTACTCATTTGTTCTCAAAAAAACAAAATGGACCTAAAAGATACTTTAATTTACCTAGGCATAACATGGAAATGTGTCTTTTTTTTCATTAGAATACAATGATGGCCTGTGCCAGTTATTAAAAAAGGCTTGTGTCAATCTGAGGCCCCAAACTTTGGGGCTAGCAAAAGATGCTTGGGAAATATCAAGAGACTCTATCACCCTAGACAAAAAATTGGGACAGGGCTGTTTTGGAGACGTCTGGAAGGGTAAGAACCTCTAAGATACTTTGATATGTTTACAGAACTACCTAAAAAAATCACAATGGTCAGATTTGATGTCTGCCACTACAGATTTCTTTAGCTTTAGTAGCCAGCTTTCTGAAAATCTTAGCTCCAATTAGCTCTTCTTGCAGTATTTTTAATAATCAGTGCGTTGACTGCATACATTGATGTGTCCAACCCAAAACCAACCTTCCTTGACACATTTCCTCACTCCTTACTTGCTCAGAAGAATAATAGGATAATGCACAAACCAGGAGTGGTAACAGTGCTGGTGCCTTGTGATTGACCTACAGCTATCACATGGATGGAAGAAAGGTAAGCGGCAAGTCAGTTTGGAGTCTGCTTACTGCTTTCTAGCATTTATTAACAAGTAGAAAGCTTTAATCAGAAACCCCTATCCCACCCACCCCAACCCTACTTATCATATTGTGTAATAGCAGTACAGACCTAGATGCAAAGCCATTCTATATGGCAGGACTGTCACAGAGTGAAAGGCTGAACTATGCAAACAGTGTTGGGTTCTGTCCTGAACTTTGCAAGGAAAAGAGAGAACGGCTGAGGTCACTAGCTTAGTAGTTTTTAATCATTAAATATAAAGCTATTCTTCAACTAAGAATACCTACTGGAACCCTTGGAGAGCCTTCATCTCACAATCGCACTTTTATAAGTCTGTCCTGGCAATGGGTGTCCTAGAGTTTCTCTGTGGAACCCAGTTCAGTTATTTGGTAGATGAAAAATCTGATAACTAAACACCTTTGACAGAACTAACACTACATCCCTGTCTGTTATAAAACTGTGACTTCTCTCCCCTCCTACTTAGCAGAGGAATCTGTAAAGACCATCACCAGATTTAACCTCTTGCATTACCATAGACCAGTGGTGGTGAACCTATGGCACATGTGTGGCAGTGGGCACGCAGAGCCCTCTCTGTCGACACGCTAGCCAAGTCGCCCCAGCAGCCGAACATCGGATAACGGCGCACATAGAGGCCAAGCGCATGCTTGGAAAGGAGTAGCGGCACCAAGCAATGACGTCGCGAGCCACGACTCTTCTGGTCAGTGCACTGCCAATAAAACTATGTTTATATTTACTTAGATTGGGATCACTGGACTGTGATTTTTAGCAGAATTCCCCCACAGGCCCACAAAGTAGGAAATGCGCTCAGATGCCTTTTTCAAAGCAGGCCAAAAGCTGGTGGTCATTTGAACATTGGCCGTTTGTGCTGGTGGTCAGTGAAACATTGCCCCTCTGTGCTGATGGTCAGTGGAACATTGCCCCTCTGTGATGATGGTCAGTGGAACATTGCCCCACTGTGCTGATGGTCAGTGGAACATTGCCCCTCTGTGCTGATGGTCAGTGGAACATTGCCCCTCTGTGCTGATGGTCAGTGGAACATTGCCCCTCTGTGCTGGTGGTCAGTGGAACATTGCCCCTTGTGCTGGTGGTCAGTGGATTTTTGCCCCCTTGTGCTGGTGGTCAGTGGATTTTTGCCCCCTTGTGCTGGTGGTCAGTGGAAATTTGCCCCTTGTGCTGGTGGTCAGTGGAACTTTGCCCCTCTGTGCTGGTGGTCAGTGGAACTTTGCCCCCTTCTGATGGTGGTCAGTGGAGCATTGCCCCCTTGTGTTGGTTATCAGAGGAGCATTGCCCCCTTGTGCTGGTGGTCAGTGGAACATTGCCCCCTTTGTGCTGGTGGTCAGTGGAACTTTGCCCCTTGTGCTGGTGGTCAGTGGAACTTTGTCCCCTTCTGTGCTGGTGGTCAGTGGAACTTTGCCCCTCTGTGCTGGTGGTCAGTGGAACTTTGCCCCTTGTGATGATGGTCAGTGGAACATTGCCCCACTGTGCTGATGGTCAGTGGAACATTGCCCCACTGTGCTGATGGTCAGTGGAACATTGCCCCTCTGTGCTGATGGTCAGTGGAACATTGCCCCTCTGTGCTGGTGGTCAGTGGAACATTGCCCCTTGTGCTGGTGGTCAGTGGATTTTTGCCCCCTTGTGCTGGTGGTCAGTGGATTTTTGCCCCCTTGTGCTGGTGGTCAGTGGATTTTTGCCCTCTTGTGCTGGTGGTCAGTGGATTTTTGCCCCCTTGTGCTGGTGGTCAGTGGAACTTTGCCCCTCTGTGCTGGTGGTCAGTGGAACTTTGCCCCCTTCTGCTGGTGGTCAGTAGAACTTTGCCCCCTTGTGTTGGTGATCAGAGGAGCATTGCCCACTTATACTGGTGGTCAGTAGAACTTTGCCCCCTTGTGTTGGTGATCAGAGGAGCATTGCCCACTTATGCTGGTGGTCAGTAGAACCTTGCCCCCTTGTGTTGGTGATCAGAGGAGCATTGCCCACTTATGCTGGTGGTCAGTAGAACTTTGCCCCCTTGTGTTGGTGATCAGTGGAACCTTGCCCCTCTGTGCTGGTGGTCAGTGGAACATTGCCCCCTTGTGCTGGTGATCAGAGGAGCATTGCCACCTTGTGCTGGTGGTCAGTAAAACCTTGCCACCTTGTGTTGGTGATCAGTGGAACTTTGCCCCCTTGTGTTGGTGGTCAGTGGAACACTGTGAAACAAAGCTTTGTTATTATGTTTTTCTTTGAAGACAAAAGATGTTATTGTATGGGTTGTTTTTTCTAAACTAAAACCTCAGGATTCAGGTTTAATTGCAGTGTTGGCACTTTGTGATAAATAAGTGGGTTTTGGGTTGCAGTCTGGGCACTTGGTCTCTAAAAGGTTTGCCATCATTGTCATAGACCATTACTTGCATTGTAGCAGCTGAGAAGATGCATGTCCCAGAATACATTGCCAGACTGTAGCTCATAATTCAATTTGGAGTTTGTCACACAACTAGAGAAAGCAATCTTGTGCTTCTCTATGTTTGAGTCAGAAAACCCTAGTGACATTAACAGAGGTCTCATGCATTAGGCGCATCTATATATATCCCATCACCAGCCCTGGCATATTGCTAACAGTGCATCAGTCAAGTTTTTTCTTTCATGAATTTTAACTCTACACGCCTATATTCAATGGGTCATTACCAGTCTAAACAAAGCAGATCATCTGGAAATACCCAGTGACTCTTCCACCCTTACTAATAATGCCCAAGGTTAAATTTCAGGGGAAACAGCTTATTTGCTTGCAGCTTCTAGATCAGTAGCTCCGCTGCAAACACCTTTTTTCACCTAAAATATCTGAACACATTTGTGATGCTTGTTGATTTAAAGGCATGGAGGAACTGTTACTGGAAACCAGTACAAAACCTGTGAAGAATGTATGTCCTTTTAGTTCTAATGGAGGAGCTTCAACAATTCTCAGCTATTCTGCAGAGGAAAACATTTCCTGCTACTTTATAATGCTGATTTTGTTCAATTAGATATTTGTAATCAACATAACATTTAACAGCATTTTAACAATTGGATAGTTTATAGTTTAGAAATGTTCAAACCTTACAGTGTACATCCCAAGCTAGCAAAAGGTGCCATAGAATATTTCCAGCATGCTAAACAATTCTGTTTATAGAAAAGATTTTAGAATTAGGATGCTTGGTGATTGCTTTAGTTTTGGACAACATAGGGAAGGATTAGGACCCTATGTACATTTTATATTGCTGTCTTTGTTCTGCTGGGGAGAATCACCCTCTCTCAATCTGTTCTGCTGACTACTGTTACCGGGAAAGTAAGAGATGACAAATCTAAAATTTTAGAGTTATCACCAGAACAAGAGGTCAGGTTAAATCTTCCAAATGGGGACATCTGTTTAGGAGACAGCTATCCATAAAATTTGCAGCTTACAGTACGTTTCCAATATAGTCAAAACTTTCCAGATGAGCTACGGGATGATGAGTTTACATGTGTCACCTAGAGAACAATTACTAGTAATTAGCAATTAGTAATAACATTAAGTTTTGTTGGACTGCACCCTATATAATGAAATGCTTGGCTAGTTGTGGTTGTAAGCAGGGCTGGTGCTAGACTATTTTTCTCCCTAGACAAGACCAGCTACTTGCGCCCCCCCCCCCCCCCCCCAATAAAAAATAAATACATTTTAAAAACAGTACAAAATAATAATACAACAAAACATGAAACTGCTAAAATTCTTTTAATTTGTAAAAATAAGTGCCATAAGATGCCACCAGCATCAATATTAAAGACAAAATCAGTGTCACAGATGGACTGTATCTGTGGCTGGCAGTGGCAGGGTGACAGTTGCAGTGAGTGGAGGATGATGGATCCACACTCTGACAGATGATCCCAGGATGGAATTCCCCAGGATGGGGGGAGATAAAACGCTGTGACAGCAGGCAGCCCAGCCAACACACAGAGAACACCTGAATAAATGATACCACACAGTAACAGAGCTGACACAACACACCACCACCAACACTGACACAGATCAGCGCTAGAAGAGCAAGCTGTGGGATCGTGATCATGTCATCACTCACTGAAAAATTGCACATGTGATGGCTGGCTGGGTCACACTCACACAAACACGACACATCAGAGTCGGACATTACCTTCCTCTGTAGGTGCAGCTCTGCCTCTGCTGATGAATGGGAAGAGAAGGGCAGGAACTCCGTAGTGATCAGCAGCTGCCAGCCAGCTTGCAATAAGGGACTAAGTCTAAGAGGAACACTGGAAGGAGCTGCAGCTCAGTTGCTACACTGGCCCCAGAAACCCGGCATCTTCCTCTGTCCTTTCTTCTTCCTCTCTGCTGCCCCTCTCCTCAGCTGAAGGATCATTCATGACGTGGCGGCATCCCACACAGAAAGAGTGCCAGCCTGTGCTGCACCCAGGCGCCCCTAGGGGCTGGTGCGCCCTAGGCGGCCGCCTAGTTTGCCTAGTGGAAGCACCTGCCCTGGTTGTTAGGTCAGTATAGAACTACGAGTCATATCCAGTCACATTGGATAAATCCATTCATTCCCAGTGAAATTAGGCAGCTGGATCACATCATATCACAAACTAGAAAAACTGAAAGAAATATATATATATATATATATTGTATCGCGCAACTGTACATTTTTATACACCGTATATATATTTTTGTTGCTGACTTTCTACCAGTAGAATAATAGTGGCTAACTAAAAAGGTTAAACCTTTAGGTTGCTCAGCAAGGGGCTGTTGGCAGAGATTGCTAAGTAGTGTTCCTTGACCTACAACAGTCTGCTGATCTAACTGAAATTGGCTGAATAACATGGTGATCATGCTATGTTGATCACAGTTGATAAACCTGACTGTATAAGCATTGTTATTTCATATTTTTCATATATCTTCACAATTATAAGGAACATGGAATGGCTCAACAAAGGTAGCTGTGAAGACTCTTAAGCCAGGGACAATGTCCCCAGAAGCATTCTTAGAAGAGGCTCAGATCATGAAGAAGCTCCGCCATGATAAATTAGTTCAGCTGTATGCAGTGGTCTCTGAAGAGCCCATATTCATTGTGACTGAGTTTATGGAACAAGGTAAGTTTTTGTGCCACTGGTGGCCTTCAATTAGTTAATAGTGTAGTATTTGATATACATCAAGGACATAAGGAAGTGTTAAGCTATTAGCTCATATGTGTAGCCAGAATAATGTAGTTGTATTCCTGGACACAAACTGTTATTTGGTTATATTAAGGCTGCTTTCACACTGAGGAGTTTCTCAATCGTTTTTGCGTTAAAAAAAGCACCTGAAAATCTCAAGAAAACTGCTTCCCTCTGTATGTGAATGTATATCTATGTATGTTTTCACACTGAGGCGTTGCGCTTGCGGTACAGTGTAAAAACTCCTGCATGTGACATCTTTGGGGCATGTTTGGGGAGTTAAAAAAAAAACACCCCAAAACCGCCTCTTCCCGTTGAAATCAATGGAAAACGCCTGAAAAGCGCCTTAAAAATGCCTCAAAAACGCCTCTGAGAAGCGTTTTTTTTGGTGCAGTTTTTAAGTCACGTGTACTTTAAAAATGCCCAGAAAGTGTGGTAAAAACGCCTATGCGTTTTTGCAGTGTTTTTGAAGCGGATCAGTGTGAAAGTAGCCTAAGTGATTTCAACAGTTCTTTATTTTTAAACAATATCTCTCTTAGGTTACATTGACTGGAGTGTTTTTTATGTGTTTCTGATACTATGATTTTTAGTAGAGGAAGGAGACTGGATGCTAGTTATTAAATAGATGGCACCTGCCAGTGTCCTAACAACCAATGACTCATCCTTACTGTCAGTCAGGGATTCCTGGCTGACAGCAGACTGTAAACAAAGGAGCAGGACAGACAAATATAAAAAAAAAAAGGCATGGGGGTCCACCCACAATCTATACCAGGCCCTTTGTGTCTGGTATGGATTTTAAGGGGGACCTCACACCAAAAAAGATGGCGTGCCACCCCCCCCAAAAAAAAATCTATACCAGACCCTTCTCTGTGCATGCAGCCTGACAGGCCAGGAAAGAGGGGGGTTGAGCGTACCTCCCCCCCTTCTGAACCATACCAGGCCACATACCCACAACATGGGGGTACTAGGCCCCTGGCAGACCACCTTGCCCCCATGTTTGAGGACAAGGGCCCTTTTCCCTACAACCCTGGCCTGGTGGTTGTGGGGGTCTGAGGGTGAGGGCTTATTGGAATCTGGAAGCCCTCTTTAACAATAAGGGGACCCTCAGATACCACCCCCCCCCCATGTGAATGAGTAAGGGTTACATAGTACACCTACTCATTCTCCAAAAAAAAGCCAGTGGTAAAGAAATGCACAAACATGGTTTTTGGCCAGTCATTTATTAAATAAAAAATTAAAATGCTGTACAAAAAAAAAAACGCCGCATACTGACACCCAAGCGATCCCATATTTATTTATTTTTTTGACGGACAAGCTCCTTCGTTTAAGTTCTGCAGTCAGCCAGAAATCCCTGGTGGACAGCAAGGATGATTCACTGGTTGTCAGGACACCTTAACAACCTGCAAAAATGCATGTGCATTTTTGTTGTGTCTCCATTGAAGTTGGGGCCAAAATCAAGCTGCAAAGGCACCAAAGTAGCAGCAGACATTTTACCAAAAACATGCCACGTTGTGCTGCATTGTTGTGAACAGGCACCACAGAGATTAATGCGATTTCCATTGTCATGATTCTCAAGTCACTTCTGAAAAGAGAGAGAGAGAGAGAGAGAGAGAGAGAGAGAGAGAGAGAGAGAGACTGAGAGACTTTTCTCCTATATGGTAAGGATTTTTCAAAATTGTATTAACTATTTCGTTTTTTGTGTAAGGGGGTGTACTACTGGGCGATATTTTGCATATCCCGGAATTCCTTTTTAAAGAAAATTATTAATAAAATAGGAGAGAATAGTGTGATAATCTTTCTGATTTGTGGAACAGGACCATGTAGTTTACAACGGAGGCTGATGAAACCTGAAATGATGCAAAGCAACTAAACAGTGCACTCAAAGAGCTAAAAAAAAGATAATGAAAGCTATAAGACTGTCTGAAAAATATTCTTCACTTCTATCAAGTAATAATACTGAAGAATATCTACAAGAGTTAAATAGCTTTATTTACTGCCTTAGCAAAGGCAGGCACTTTGCATTTTTGGAGGCCAAGTCACTAATAGACGAGAAGATATCACAACTCCATTAAACCGCGTCCTGCCACCCTGTCTCTTCAACGCACGCTAAGACCACTAAGCACTCACAGCAATCATCACAAAGATCCTGCTCTCAGTGATCCTCACTGAACAGTCAACTCATAACAGCCTGAGCTGAAGCAGAGGAAGCTTAAACTGAAGCTTACTGCATTAAGGGAGAAACAATCATCAAAGCACAAGGTGCAGGTGGAAATAGAAGTTGCCCAGGCAGGAGCAAAAGAATGAATGCAAGCAGAAGCAGAAGCTGCTCAGACAGAAGCCCAGCTTGAAGTCCTTCAAAAGGAAAGAAAGAAAGCAGTATCATTAGCCAAGCTCAGAGTTTTGGAACAAGCTGTGGAGGAATAAGAAGTTGACCATTGTCCTCTTCTGACAACCTCTAATGACCCTGCAAGACAGACACTGGAATTTGTCCTAAGCATGAGCAATGAGCATACAATTGCTGTGGACGCTTTAAGCCGTGTACCAACCCACAGCACATTTGGCAGCAGGAGGGAATACAGCAATCAAACACATAGGTCTCCTTGGCCTGTCACATACTTCTCTGCCTCCCAAGTTACTAACATCATATGAAGCAATTCATGTGCCATCACAGACTACCCTGAATCATCTCAAAACCTCTTGAGACTGGTCACACTGTCCTTAAGACCCATACCATGGCACCTCCAGGTGTCAAGCCTAATTATGGACTGAACCCGTATGCTACCCCATTCTCACCTCCAACATCTAAATACAAGGTTCTAGATACTACCATCTTTACCAAAGGTGAATGAACACCTGTCACAGCAAGGACTCAAGAAACTGATACGTTGAATGTTGCTAGGTACATGACCCGCAGAGAACTGATTAATACCATGCCTTATGAAATTCAACAATCGCCAAAGGAAGTATAGATGCTGGAGATCCAGGACCTCAACATCCTACTATGCAAGAACTTGATTTGTCAATCAGATTTTTAGGTCACCAGCTGTTGGACTGCACTAAGAGTCTGAAAACTGTTCACATCCATTAACCGATAAATGCCTTAATATTGTGGGGAAAGATTATAGCAAACATATAGGAGCTCTGAAGTTATGAACCTTCCTTGTTCAAGAAGCTGAACACTAAAGAAGTTCCATGAACTAAGTGATCTTCTTGAGCCTGAAATTGCCATGGAAGACAGGAATTACACCCATTGTCAGCAGTGACAGCATACAAAAGCAAAAAGGTCCAAACTTTAACTGTCTTATCTACGACAAGCCACATCCTCTCAGAAATTGCAGTGCATTCAATGAAAAGCTCTTTGAAGGATGCAAGATGTTTCTAAAGAACCACAGCATTTTTTTCAGTTGTTTCTCATCCACAGAGCACTTCACCAGAGTCTGCAAGGCTAAAGTTAACTGCTTAGAATGCAATAGCAACAGGCACATATCAGCCTTATACTGAGATCCCTTTAAAACAGACTCTACATCCACAGAAGATCTTACACCCATGTCAGATCATGGCGGGCAATGAACAGCCACTTGCAATAATCATATCTAAATGTAGTATCGTAAGCTATGTCACAAAGGATTTTCAGTGAAAACCAGTGGTAAAATACTGTATGTCTGGTGAGACTGTTTCCTTGGGGACAGCCAGAAAAAACTGTCAGGATGTAGGCTGTTTGATCCAATGACCAAAGCAGTCATTTATCTGCCACTTCAGAGTTTTGACAGGTTTGATGCATGGGGAGAAGCACTGTACTACACCCTAAACACATGTGCTGGCACTGTAGGAAGAATTGCTCCTGCTGGAGAATTCATTATTTCAGACGTGAAAAGAGACTGAAAGAATTCATTTTCCTACACTTATCAAATGCAAACAAATAACTAATGACAGAGAGGAAATCCCTACACCAGAAGGGGCATGTTACATGTATGAATTCAAAGTTTCAATGCGAGTCTACATTCCACCATTGGAAGATAACACCAAAGTCATGCTTCTGATAGAGAGAGACAGAGAGAGATATAGCAAGAGTCCACAAGGTACAAGAACAGAGCACAAGTAGGGTTGCCACCTCATCCCTTTATTTTCATTATTATTATTATTATACAGGATTTATATGGCGCCAACAGTTTGCTCAGAACTTTAAAATACAAAGGGAGACAATACAGCAACATACAGTGCAATACAAGAGGGTTAGGAGCAGGGGCGGACTGACAACTCATGGGGCCCCCGGGCAATAGGGGATCATGGGGCCCCTGTGTCCTTACCTACACTCAAAGCATTCCCCCAAAAAAGCCCATAAGAATGTATCAGGGGCATTTCATGGGCCCCCTACTGACCCCGGGCCCTCGGGCAGTGCCCGAGTGCTCGAATGGTCAGTCTGCCCCTGGTTAGGAGGGACCTGCTCCTTGGAGCTTACCTTTAAACCAAAATACATATTGTTTACACAGGTTCTGGGGCTAATTTAATGCAGCTAAGGCACTGAGTTTAATTACCACCTTAATCAGTCACAGAACCTGTGTAATTAATGTGTTTGGTTTTAGATTGTAAGCTCCAAGGAGCAGGGCCCTCAAACCCCTCTTGTATTGAATTGTATTGTTACTGTACTGTCTCGTGTAGTGTCTCCCACCATAATGTAAAGCGCTGAGCAAACTGTCGGCGTTATACAAATCCTGTTTATTATTATTATTATTATTATTATAATAATAATAATAATAATAATAATAATAAAAAAGGGATGAGGTGGCAACCCTAAGTACAAGTGATCTTTAAAACGATCCTCATACCATAAAGACCAAACTTCTCAGCACTCCTCACTTGAGTAAAGCTGACTATACATGTACAGTACAGTATAGTACATGTATACAAGCAATGTTGATGCAGGGATCACTTCTGCTATTCTTTTTTTTCTGACGGGGGGGCTTCCCCCCCCCCGTCAGAATACACAGATCATCGTTTGCAACCATTGGCTGCTAGCACTGATCGAATGCTGGTTTTCCAGCATGACAATTTGACATAAGTCAGTCGATAGACTGCTCCTGTTGAACAGACTGAGCTACATGCAGTGTTTGGTACGTGTGTACCGGGCTTAAGTTCACTTGGAAAACGCACTGTAAAGCTATTGTTGAGAGAATCCAGGACACTCCCTTCATCTTTCAAAACAGGAGCTCAAAAGAGATTTCCACCCAGCCAACAAGACTTCCTGCGAGCAATGAGTTCTACATCAAGGAACCATCTTACAGCAATGTCTGTGAAACAACTTCTTAAACTTCTACTGAAGGCAACAAGACTGAGCTTACAATAGGTGCTCAGGAATCCACTGTTACCAAGATCCTGAACAACAATACTAATATTCATTAGTTATTGGACTGTGTAATTAGCGACTTCAAGCCTCCATCTCTTTCGATAGATACCATATAGTTGTTCACAGTGAACCAGCTGCAACCTCCCCTCCCCTGTCCTTCCCTCCTGTTTAATGCTAGTTAGTTCAGTCCTAGCTAGACCCTCCCTGTTTCGTCCATGTTTCCTCAGTCATTGTTAGTTATTCATAGAGACAGGGCTCTGTCATTGTGTTCTTGCACTTCAAAAGACTAGAAAAACATCCTATGTACTGCAAGTAGCTGAAGTAAAATTGAATTGGATTCAAATTCTGTGTCCTATTGAAGTGTTAAGCTGTCTGTGTATGGTGCCAAGTCAGCAGATGACTATATTGTTATTATACATAAAAGAGCACTTGAAAAAAAATGACACAGCCATTAACTAGTGGATGTACATGGATTTTTTGTGGTGAATAAGAATTTAATTTACTGTCACTTTAAACTCTGATGGCTTATGGCTTCCTTTCTAGGGGAATGTCTACAAACACTGGACAGTTCTTCTGGCCTTTGGCTTCATACAAAACTTCCCAAAAGGGTAACCAGCACCCAGGCTTCTCAGAATCTCCTGGACTTCCATCCAGTCCTAAGTGTCAGGATGAATCCATTCCATAGCTTACATGACCTTACAATGCAGGTTCCTGTCCCTATCTATAGAGCCTGCCTGTGCCTACCAGTTGAGTTCCTGTCCTTATCTGTGCTTCCCACTCGGAACCCTTGGTTATGCTGACTGGCCTACGTATAGTACGTCTGTGTCCAAATACAGGCCACCAAAATCTTAAGAGATTGTGCCAAAAGTAGATAAAGACTCTCCTAAAATGGCACCTGGAACCCATGGCAGAGGATACATTAGTCCTATGTTGGACTCCCTCTATTGCTGGTAGCAGGCAGCAGTCAAGGAATCGCACTATTTCCTACTCAAAGACAAAAGGGATGTGATTCAGTGATCACAGGATCACTGCATTACTTTGAGAGACGCCTTCATTCCTGTTTATACAGGCCCTCATACTACATAGTTGTTGGTAAATCTAAAGTCTGTACAGAAATTGTACTATCAAATTTTAACATGTGTGACAAGCTTTATTCTTGGGCATCACTTGTGATTAGCTGACCATTTTTTAATTCTTAGAGAGCTATTAGTTTGAAGGGCTTGTTATCACTGAGAGATCTTCCAGCTTGCTGAAAAATGTCCCTACAAACCGATTAAATTTTTTTCTCTGCTGTAGAAAAAGGGACAGGTTAAAAAAACTACCAACAGCTTCAGGTCAGTATAGCATTGGTATAAATTATGTAGTTTTTAATTATTCTTTCTGTTCTACAGGAAGCCTGTTAGAATTCATCAAAGATGGAGATGGACGATATTTGAAATTACCAGAGTTAGTGGATATGTCGGCACAGGTTAGTGGGATTTCATACCATCTAATTGTATTTTCTGTTCACTAGTGCGGACAGCAACTTTTTCTTGTAGTCGATACTCTCCTTCTCAATCTGCTGCATGATGTTAAAGGGTATTGTATGTTCAGGCATTACGCAAATTTACCCCAAACCTTCCTCTCTGTATCCAGAGCATGCATTAGTATTATTATTTTTTTTCTTTTAAATGGTTCCTGCAGAAGGAAACTGCTTTTATTACTCCCTGTGACATCACTACCAGGCCTATAAAATTCTTTCAATGGCTGGTGCTAGAAGATCAGTGTGTGGGCAGGGTCTTGGAAGTCAATGCAGCAGGGTGACAACATAGCTTGAAATGTCAGTGCTGAAAAGCTACTTTGTTGTCAATAGGCATGTGCGTTTCATTTCATAACAATCTGATTTTTGGAGATTTGGATGTATACAAATCTCCGAATGGGCATAGTAAGGATTGTCAACAAATCTAAAAAAGGTTATAACTTAATTATGGAATGCATTTGTTTCATTTGGATGATGTCACATGATACGATAGTAGTTTGGGCCAAAGAGGAAATTAATTCAGTTTTCAAATCCATTTGAGTAAAGTTGTGATTTAAATTGAATTTGTAATTGTCACAGTCAGTTCAGTTCCACAGTCTAATGCAATTCTTAGGTTTGAAAAAAAATTTTTGGATTATTTATTCCATTGTGTCTGATACATATCAAATCCTGTTCAACAGTTTCGATATATGAATAACGAATCCACCTGAAATATCGAAACCGAAAACTAATATATAGCAATCTTTGGAAAAAACTGCAAACTTTTTCGGTTCCACCCGGACCAATGAATATATGAAACAAATGCCAAAAAATCGGTTCAATGTACCGTATGTGACAAAACAAAATTCTTCCAAGATGAATGCATCCAAAATAAAATGAACATTTCAGGCATGCACTTGTCCAGCTGTCAACCCAAAAGAGCATGATTGATTTCTGACAGATCAACCAATTTTTTTTCTGTGCTTGCAGCATTGAACCAATTCATGTATTGGAGAAACGTACTATGTTTTTTTCTTATGTTGCCCTCCTGTACACCTTAACCTTTAGTGACTTCTCTCATTGCCTACCTTCCTTTAGTTTTTAATTCTAGCTTCCTATTGCATTTTTCTTTGATGCAGTGTAGTACATGCCTATATATACTGTATAAATTTCCTAAGCTACAGCCAGCAACAACATTTGAAAGCCTCAAGCAAGGAAAGGGAGGTCGGTGTACATGAACTGTGACAGCAGAGTGCTGGCTCAACTTGAGTATTCCCTGCATATGTTTATCTTACAAGCTGTTCACATTTCTATCAATGTCCTTAAAGTGAACCTGTATTCACTTCAGACCCACTAAAGCAACCATATATGTAAAAAGCAGGCTGCTTTCAGATACCTTTCAAGTTTTAGGCCTGCCAATTGCTGCTCCTTGTTACTGGTCAATAACTTTGACAGATTGCTTCACTCACCAATGAAAAGGTGAGGAAGATACAGATCCAGGATAGATGTCAGCAGTTGAGATTTGCATTGCAAAATAAATCAGAGTTCCCCCCTCTTATAAGAGTCCCCCATAACATTAAAATTGCCTTATCATATCAGAGTACTCTCATCACATCAGAGAGTCCCCATTCACATCAGTAGCTTACTCTTCGCGTCAGAGTCCCCTCATCACATCTAACCCCACCTTCCACCCAGGGGTGGACTGACCATTCGAGCACTCGGGCACTGCCTGAGGGCCCAGGGTCAGTAGGGGGCCCCATGAAATGCCCCTAGTACCTTTTTTTTATAGACTTTTTTTGAGTGTGGGCAAGGACACAGGGGCCCCATGATCTCCTAATGCCCTGGGGCCCCATGAGTTGTCAGTCCACCCCTGCTTCCACCTACCTATCATATCAGAGCCCCAGATTGCATTAAAGTCCACCAATCACAGTTTTGTCTAACCACATCCGAATCCCCTTCCCTTCCCATCACATTCCCCCCCTATTCATCAAAAGCCTCCCTAGATATGAAAGGCCCTATCATATCAGTCCCTTCTTCCCATCAGAGCCCTACCTTGCTCCAGGAGCATGTCAGAGGATGGAAGATAGAGCAGGTCTGAATGGAGGTACAGTACCATCCTCCCCTGAATGCTGGGGCCAGCCCCTTATCCTGGCTCAACTTAATGCATTGCATTGGTGCAGGAAGGATACCACGCATCCGAGCTGCAGAGCTTCATTGGTTATTATGGTTTAGGTGGCCGGCAAGCACCATGGCAAGGCATAAAACAGATCCAAGACAAGCTGCATCTCATGTTTGCTTCACTTGGGGGATACCCAAAAAGTGTTGAGAAATGATGAGAAATATAATTGTCCTGATCACCAGTGTCACAGGAAATGAAAGTGAGGGTAAATCCAAAATTCTTAGTTTCCACCAAAATGGGAATAGAGGAGAAAAACTTCAAATGGGGACACTTGTTCCTGTGACAACTGTCTAAACCCAGTCATAGATGGTTTGAATCTCAGCTGGTTCAACAGTGAGAGCAGCCAAGATTCATACCATCTATGGGCAGGCTGACTGTACTCAATTCGATTGTTGTATGACTTGGGTACAACCAGCCTGTTGAATTTTTCATGCGATTGTATATATAGCTGCTAGCAATAATCACTTTGTTCTCCTGGCAGGAACAGCTCCCTGCCTACCCACCAAGAGAACACAATAGCTCCATGGAAGGGATTCCCCCATCAACACTGACTGTGTTCTTTCCTTCAACACGTGGTTGCAAGAAAGAAAAGCACATTGTCTATGACCCACCTATGGCCCTAAGAGGATAAGTTCCCTTGCATTGGAAAGATATCCTGTCACTGTTGATAGACACTGACACTGTTTATTAAGACACCGATGACAAGAAAGAAACGGGCAATGGTTTTATACCTGTCCAATTCTATTCTAAATGGAAAAAAAAGAAAATTTAGCTTTTAGGTATACTTTAGACAGAGTTCCATTTGCAATGCATTGGTTAACTTCTGTAATCCACAGGTCTCCTGTGCCTCTCCTGTATCAGCCTCAGTCCAGCCCTGGGTCTCCGCCAAAGCATTCAGTTAGATTCAGTCTCACAAAGCCAGTTACAAACATAAGCGGCTTTTGTAAAGGCCGAGCAATGAAGTACTAGGACAATAAGTAAATCAATATATTTATCCAAACTTTTCCACAACTGATTAAAGCAATCCATGTGCAAACTTTATTGTTCTAATTATGCCAAATATATTGCTGGTTTTAACAGTGAGATTGTAAGTGTGCATGAGTTAGTGCTTGAAGACAAAACAGAGATCCTATTGGTGTTTAGTAATCCCAAACTCCTCTTTCATAGTACCTTGTCTACTTAAATAACAACTCCCCTTTTCTACTTTATATTTAAAAAAAATCAGTAATCCAAAAATAAAAATGCAGCTTTGGCTGCAATAGTCACTTTTTTTCTGCCGCCGTACCCTGCTGAATCATCGACCAGTGCTAGTCCTCCTCTGTGCTGAATGATGACCAAAACTATCCCACCTACTTCCTGTAAGTCCAGACCATCATCATAGTGGTTTGGGCCCACTGTACTCCTAAAATCCTAAAATCATCATTACATGAGCACTGCATTGTCCAGGATTAAGGACTGCTCACTGCCCTGCTGGAGGAGAACAGGATATACTCATGACTAATGTTGGGTATACACCCACAGTTTTTTTTTTTCACTCAACCTACTGGTTGAATGAAAAAAATCTACAGATCCGTACATCCACACAAACTATGTGGATGCAGAGATCTCCCTTGTGATGCTATTGTAAAAACCCCCTCCCTGTTGAGATACACGACACACAGACATTGCGCTGATCAAATGCTGGTTTTCCAGCAGGACTGTTAGGCAGAAGCTGAGACAGATCTCTGTTGAATAGTGAGGAATACACATGTACCAAAAGTCATCCAGTTCCTACTGAACCATCCAAATTTTGGAATGTGTGTATTCAGCTTTATGGGTCTGACCTGAAGACTGCAGGAAAAAAGGAACATATACAGTTGTGTCCAAAATTATTCAACCCCCACTGAAATTGAGTGTTTTGGCCAGTTTGACATTGCTTTTGATCATTCAGTCATCTTGTAAAGAGGCACTTGTAGGTCAGACAAATATAACATAACAGTTATAATGAAATAACCACAAATGTCTTTTCTGTGCTCACAGCATTATCAGTTTTATTCAACCCCCCAAGTGACATTCAATCTTAGTACTTAGTACAGCATCCTTTTACAGTTTATAACAGCTTTTAAACGTGAAGCATAGCTTGACACAAGTGTCTTGCAGCGATCTCTACGGGTATCTTCGCCCATTCTTCATGGGCAAAGGCCTCCAGTTCAGTCACATTCTTAGGCTTGCGCACTGCAACTGCTTTCTTTAAGTCCCACCAGAGGTTCTCAATCGGATTTAAGTCTGGTGACTGCGATGGCCACTCCAAAATGTTCCAGCCTTTCCTCTGCAACCATGCTCTAGTGGACTTGGAGGTATGCTTGGGATCATTGTCCTGTTGAAAGGTCCAACGTCTTCCCAAGCCTCAGGTGTGTGACGGACTGCATCACGTTTCCATCCAATATCTCCTGGTACTGAAGAGAATTCATGGTACCTTGCACACGCTGAAGCTTCCCTGTACCTGCAGAAGCAAAACAGCCCCAAAGCATGATTGACCCTCCACCATGCTTCACAGTAGGCAAGGTGTTCTTTTCATCATAGGCCTTGTTCTTCCTCCTCCAAACATAGCGTTGATCCATGGGCCCAAACAGTTCTAATTTTGTTTCATCAGTCCACAGAACACTATCCCACAACTTTTGTGGTTTGTCCACATGGCTTTTGGCATACTGCAGTCGACTCTTCTTATTCTTTGGAGACAGCAAGGGGGTACGCCTGGGAGTTCTGGCACGGAGGCCTTCATTACGCAGTGTGCGTCTTATTGTCTGGGCTGAAACTTCTGTACCCACATCTGACAAATCTTTTCTCAGTTCCTCAGCAGTCACACGGGGACTTCTCTCCACTCTACGCTTCAGGTAGCGCACAGCAGTCGAAGTCAGCATCTTCTTTCTGCCACGACCAGGTAGCGTTTCAACAGTGCCCTTTGCCTTGAATTTGCGAATGATGCTTCCTAAGGTGTCTCTTGGTATGTTTAACATCTTTGCAATCTTCTTATAGCCATTGCCCTTCCTGTGAAGAGAAATCACCTCTTCTCTTGTCTTCCTGGACCATTCTCTTGCCTTCACCATGTTTGTAACCACACCAGTAAATGTCTAGAAGGAGCTGAGTATCACAGTCATTTTAAAGCTGCCTAATTGGTGCTTATTATGCTTGATTGCTGCTCGGTGACATCCACAGGTGTTTTCAATACCTGATGGAAAGCACCTGTATGAACCTCTGTTCTTCAGAGTGGTAGTCTTTAAGGGGTTGAATAATTGTGGCAATGAAGAAACCACATAAGAACCATTTACTACTGTATTACATAAACAATTGATGTCATTTTAGTTGCATTTGGGTAGTTACAACGTCCTTGTAGGATTTGATTCTGAATACAATTCCAAATGTACACTATAGTCCCTAAACCCCTTTACAGCATTGGGGGTTGAATAATTTTGGACACAACTGTAACTGGATTTCTTTATAAACTGATAGTGGGGGTTAAAGTTGGGTTTTAATAAAGGATTAATATTAACCAACTTTCGAGAAATTCATTGTTATGGTTTACATATACCTCAGCTTCAGTAGAGAAAAGGCAGGTCACCATCTTGGCTTTGTTGTCTGGTAGGACTTTGGAAGTATGTGGATGGGATGGGTAGCTGTACAAATCCTTCCTCGGGTAAAAGAACTCCCAGATCTGTAAAGTTTAAATACAGATGTGGGAATTGTTTTACCCAAGCAAGGATTTGTATATCTATCCATCCCATCCATATACTTCCACAGCCCTTCCAGACACTACAACCCAGATGGTGACCTGCCTTTTTCTCTACTGCAGCTGAGGTATATGTAAACCTTAACAATGAGCTTCTCACATTTGCTCCCTTTTGGTCTCTTAAAAGTACCATTAAATGTATTTTTAATTTTGTTTTTAGAAGTGCAAAAAATACCCATTGATCCTGCCATTCTATGGGGGGTATAGCCAGTAACATACAGGAAGTGAAAAGGTAAAAATTATAGCCACCTGGAATTAGAAAAATACTAGAGAAGAGGGTAGCTACCAAAGGGCATTTATTAAAAGCTGACCAGTTCAGCTGGAAGTCATAAAAGAAAACAGGTTTTTACTCATAGAAAAAAGTTTTTTTTCATCAGTATATAGTTATTTGATAATGCTGATTTGAATGGAATGTGTACTTTTATAAGTAATACTTTTGTTTTATATGTGCACTAAAAGTTTCAACTACATAGTGGACTTCAGTAACTGCTGCCCTGTTGTGTTTTTTCAGCATGCTAGTAATTTGTGTTGCATTTTTGACCTGCAATACTGTCTACATTTGTAAAGGGTTCAGAAAGCTCAAAAGCTTACTATAATGGTTAAAAAATAATTATATCCGTGACCAGCATGTCACATGTCAGCATGTTATAGACACTTTCTAATACAGTTAGAACTATGCAGTATCAAAACTGCTTTTGTTCTGTTCCATAAATGATCTTTCTTACCATTTTAACAAGGCTAAAAGGTGTCACCGTGAGGGGTCGGGCTCACAGACCAGTAGCTATAGCAGTAGAGAGTCTTCCACCAACCAGCTGGATAAGTACACAAACGGGGCACACTGGTGGATGAACCAGGCTTACCCAAAGTGTGGGGTTTAAGCACTAACCAGTATTTACCAGAGCTCCTGATGGTGGAGGTGGGTTTTTCTGCGTATTAATACCAATTCGCAGTCCTTGGGATCAGCCCACCAGGAGGTGAGCAAGCCAGGGTCCAGTAGCAAAAATAACAGGTAGGGATCAAGCAGAAGCATAGTCAGTAAACAAGCCAAAAGTCGTTAAGAAGTGGTTTGAGGTTGGGATCAAGCGGAAGCCTAGTCAAGGAACAAGCCAAAAGTTTGTAATGAGTGGTAGTGGAGATAAGAACAGCTACAGGTACCCCAAGGAGCAGAATATCGGCTGGAGAGTGCACAAAAATCTGGCAAACAGGAAGTGCAAAGGTATGGCTTAAATAGGAAGTTCATGGGAGGAGCAAAGAGTTCAAGGTTTAACAGAAACAAAGTACACAACAATATTATCCAAGGGTTCAGACAAGACATTATCCAGCATTTCAAGTGGCTCAGCAGGGAGAGCTTCTGCCAGATGCAGAAGGGGTTGGGTGTTTAGATCCCGGTCTTGACAAAAGGTTCTGTCATGTGACAATGCATCTCTAAATCCACCTCTTCTCGAGTCCCCCGCCAGCACTTCAGGCCCCTCCATCCTGCCAAGTGCAGCCAGAGAAAGCAGCTTGCTATAGGGGCACCCAAGCAGACTCGCTTCCGAGCCACTGCTCTGAGCGTTCATTCACACACAAAGCTACGGCTCGGCCCCCTCTATCTCCTCACTGGCTCAGTGGCTGAGATTGATAGTAGTGGGAGCCATTGGCTCTTACAATGCATGAAGGTAAACAACTTTGAGTCTTTACGACCACTTTAAAGGACACTGTGCAGACACATAGTGTGCCTGTATTCCATAGTCTATTCAGCCTAAGGCAAGCTGCAGGCTGTTCTTGAACAGGGGGTGTGTTCAAAAGGCAGACTGTGATTGGCAGAGGGTGTGTGACAGAGGTAAGCTGGGATTTGGAGAGGGTGTACCCAATATAGTCATGCTGTGTGTCTGCACAGTGTCCTGTACCTCTGAAAGGCTAGCCAAAGAATGAACACTGACCATGCTAACACAGATCAGCTTCTGTGCTTTGTTTAGCCAGTATAGAACAAGGAAGAAGGGTGACTGACAGAATCAATCAGGTACTTCAGATAAGAGAAGTACATGAAAATGATAGACACTGTGATTTATTAAAATACACATATGTGAACATACACACAGAAGAAATACATATTTAAGATAACACACTTTAACCACTTCCAGACCGGACACTTTTACCCCCTTCCTGTCCAGGGCAATTTTCAGCTTTCAGCGCTATCACACTTTGAATGACAATTGCGCGGTCATGCAACACTGTACCCAAATGAATTTTTTACCATTTTTTTGAGACAGATAAAGCTTTATTTTGGTGGTATTTATTCACCGCTGGGATTTTTATTTTTTTTGCTATATAATTGAAAAAGTCCAAAAATTTTGAAAAAAAGTGTTTTTTTTTATAAAATTTTGCAAATAAATAATATTTCATCATAAATCTTTGCCAAAATGTATTTCGTTATCTTTTTAGTAAAAAAAAAATCCAAATTAGATTATAACCAAAAATTAAAATTTTTAAACATTTTTTTTTTACATTTTTATATTATTATTATTTTTTTTTTTTTTTTTTTTTTTTTTACATACTGTCACCCTAGCAGTACAGTGTCACCATGGTGACACTATACTACTTGTGGGGGGTGATGAAGATTTTTTTAAATTTTTTTTTACACTGATTGCTTTTACACCCATATAGAATGTAAAAGCAATCATTTCTCTTTCTCTCTGTGTGCATTCTTGCACTCATTGAGAAGTACTGAGTGAGCTGTGATTGGTCACAGCTTGTCACATGGTACAAGGCTGTTGTGAATAGCCTTGTACCATGTGACCTCTGTGATCATTCACAGATTTATCACGTAGTAAGCAATGATGTCACAAGTGACATCTTGCTTTCTACTTTTCATGTGATCACTGATTGGCCAATCAGTGCCCTGATCATCAGTGCCGATCTCCTCTATGACAGCTGTCCGTTATCGGCAGTACTTTCCTCACCCTGTGACAGCATGAGGAAAGTGATACCGATAACCGGCAACTGTATTTACTTCGTGATCTGCTGTGTCATTGGGCACAGCTGATCATGTGGTAAAAGGTCTCTGTGATTGGCCTTTTACCATGTCACGTGATCAGCTGCATCCGTAGGACACAGCGATCATGCAGATCGCCGGGTGCGCGCCCATGGGGGTGTGGAGGAGGGTGCGTTCTGGGAGGACATCATATGACGCCCCTCCCAGAACTGGGTAGCTGCGCTGTAGCCATCATTTGGCTATAGTGCAGTTACCAAGTGGTTAACCAAAAGCTGATCATGCCTGTCTTCTTCACTTGGTCTTTCATCATTAGGTTTTTTACTTTCAGAACTTCCTGGCACATGTGACCACTTAATTCTCATTTGCTAAGGACTTTTAATCCCACTATATCAACCCCATCAGCCTGATCAAATTGTTTCTGTTTTTTCTAGATATCTGCTGGCATGGCATATATTGAACGAATGAATTATATTCACCGTGACCTCAGAGCTGCCAATATTCTGGTTGGGGACAACTTGATCTGTAAAATTGCAGACTTTGGCCTTGCTCGTCTCATTGAAGACAATGAATACACAGCTCGACAGGGTAATGACATTTCATTTATTCTCCACCTCTGGGGCTCCATTTAAAGCTGATAACAGTGATGGCTTCTGGGTAAACTTAGAGTGTTTGTAGGGAGGATGACGGCAGATGAACAGCTCCAGCTCTGATGAGGAAATGTTAGTAGACAGATGTAAAACAAATTAAAGTGGTATTAAACTCAAAAGCAAACATTTATTATATTGTACCTTACCAATTTCTAAATGTGATGGCTTCATTAGTTTTCTTTTCTAGGCTTTCTCTCTTTTATTTTCATCTGGTGATCTGGTCAGTAAGTCTGCTGTTGATCAAAAGAACAAGCTCTCTTGCAGATGTATCAGTTACTGGCATGAAGCAAACCATTTGCCACTGGTGGTGGGGCTTACAATGATCAGTTTTATGTATTTATGTAAACCTTTATTCCAAAAGGAAAAAACTGTTGCTGTAACTGCTTATAAAGTGTTAGTTGAGTTTGGCTTCAATGTGTTAGTATATTTAAATCTGCTAGTACATCTAACATTCCCCTTCTCTCAGAATGACAATGCCGCTGTCTAGATGTGCCATCTGTGCTCATTCATCCAGAGTGGGGAACTCTAATACAGAAGGTATGCTGCTAGCCAAATCACCAGCTGAAAACAGAGGGGAAAAGCCTAAAACGTGAAGCTATGATTATTATGATTATATTCTACCTGGTGTATAGGCATAGGCACCCCATATGACTGGACAGTAAGATTAAATTTTACTACTTGTATGGCCTAATGTACATTTCCTATCACCATTACTGCCTAAAGCGAAGATCCAGTATCACTTGAAAAAAAAAGTCAGCTGCTACAAAAAATTGTAGCTGGTAACTTTAAAAAAAAACAGACACTCACATCATGTCCCTCAATCCAGCGGTGTGTTCACAGGACCTGTTACGTGTCCCAGAACACTACAGGGAGGGAGGACAACTTCCGTTTCCAATCCCCTAGGCGATCAGGGCGGGAAGTGGGAGCAGTTACCTGTCAAAATTGGGTACCCGCTCCCCCCGCTCCCCAAAGGTGCCAATTTGGGGAGCGGGGGATCAGTCCTTAAAGTGGAACTTCCCCTTTTGGGTGGAGCTTTGCTTTAAGGCCCTTTCACACTTACACCTGCCATAGGGTTGAATATTGAGTTGGCCACCCTTTGCAGCTGCAACAGCTTCAACTCTTCTGGGAAGGCTGTCCACAAGGTTTAGGAGTGTGTCTATGGGAATGTTTGACCATTCTTCCAGAAGCCCATTTGTGAGGTCAGTCACTGATGTCGAATGAGAAGGCCTGGCTTGCAGTCTCTGCTCTAATGCATCCCAAAGGTGTTCTTTTGGGTTGAGGTCAGGTCTCTGTGCAGGCCAGTCAAGTTCCTCCACCCCAAACTTGCTCATCTATGTCTTTATGGATGGACCTTGCTTCGTGCACTGGTGCGCATTCATGTTGTTACAGGAAGGGGCCATCCCCAAACAGTTCCCACAAAGGAGCATGAAGTTGTCCAAAATGTCTTGGTATCCTGACACCTTAAGAGATCCCTTCACTGGAATTAAGGGGCAAAGCCCAACCCCTGAAAAACAACCCATAATTCCCCCTCCACCAAACTTTACACTTACCACAATGCAGTCAGGCAAGTACCATTCTCCTGGCAGCACCAAACCCAGACACGTCCATTGGATTTCCAGACAGAGAAGCGTGATTTGTCACTCCAGAGAACACATCTCCACTGCTCTAGAGTGCAGTGGTGGTGTGCTTTACACCACTGCATCTGACGCTTTGCATTGCATTTGGTGAAGTAAGTCTTGGATGTAACTGCTTGGCCAGGGAAACCCATTCCATGAAGCTCTCTATGCACTGTTATGCTAATCTGAAGGCCACACGAAGTTTGGAGGTCTTTAGCTATTGACTCTGCAGACAGTTGGCGACCTCTGCGCACTGTGTGCTTCAGCATGTGCTGACACCGCTCTGTCATTTTACGTGGCCTATCACTTCGTGGCTGAGTTGCTGTTGTTCCCAGTTATTTCTACTTTGTGAAAATACCACTAACAGTTGACTGTGGAATATTTAGTAGCAAGGAAATTTCACGGATGGACTTATTGCATAGGTGGCAACCTATCACGGTACCATGCTTGAATTCACTGAGCTCCTGAGAGTGACCCATTCTTTCACAAATATTTGTAGAAGCAGTCTGCATGCCTAGGTGCTTGATTTTATACAACTGTGGCTATGGAGGTGATTGGAACACCTGAATCCAATGATTTGGAGGGGTGTCCCAATACTTTTGGCAATATAGTGCATTTGACTATGTATTTTCAATTCCAGTGCTGCCCATTTACCAAGTAAGTTAATGGAATAGCCTGGAGGGAGTGGATATTGTGGTTTTTGGCACTGACAGGTTCCCTTGGCTTGTGGGACTGAGAATCCGCCCCCTTTTCTCCCTTTCTGTATCAGCTCATCCATATATTATAACTTCTTTTAGGGCTCGTTCACACTTGACTGTTTTACCAACGCTTGCCAAATGCCCCTATAGCGTTTGGCAAGCATTGGTCCGGCGTTTGAGGAGCGTTTTTTAACGCTCCGCAAACGCTCCGCAAACAGCGCATGTGGGGTTTAGCGGCGGTTGCTAGGTGTTTGCCGAGTGTTAAAAATGCCCCACAAACGCCTATAATGAAGTTTGAATGGTGTTACCGCTCCGCAAACGCCCCACAACCGCGTCGCAACCGGCCGGGCGTTTGCAGAGTGGCACCATAGACTAGAATAGGAGGCTTCAACGACTCCTGACTCGACCAGAGGCATCCGTTTTGCCGCGACGCTAACGCTCCCGTTAGAACAGCACCATGTGCTGCAATGTGCAGAATTGTCAGAGGCGTTTGAGAAGCGGTAAAAACACTTCCCAAACGCCTCTCTGCCATCTGCACACAACGCTAGTGTGAACGTAGCCTTAGCTTCACTGGGGGGTATTTACAAAACCTAGAGAGTGCAAAAATCTGGTGCAGCTCTGCAAAGAAAGCAATCAGCTTCCAGGTTTTATTGCCAAAGCTTAATTGAACAAGTTGAAATTAGAAGCTGATTGGCTGCAATGCACAGCTGCACCAGATTCTGAGTGCTCCAGTTTTGGTAAATCTACCTCGCTGCCATACTTTTCTAAACTGCTATTCTACCATTCAGAGCCTTATACCACCTCAGGGTTGCTAAATCCCATAACGGATTGGAAGTCCAGTGGTAGTTAAGAAAGTGATATTGCTTATTGATTCTAGAAGGTCGACAGTGTGACAGTGATGTTGAGGTTATTATCAGAGAGCAAAGAAGGTTCCTGCATAAGGGAGAGAGCAGTTTATAAAGTTGCAGACTCCTACTCAGTGGACTATGAACCCCAAAACTAGACCACTTATGCTGGCAACAGTAGCCCCCTTATTTCTCTTACCTAAAATTTTGTTTTTAAATAACATTCCCTATCTTAAAATAGTATAAACATGTGCATGAGGCCCATTTGTACGTGCTTATGGCATGTATTAAACCAGCCATACTGAATGAGAGATGCACATATTTTATATAGATACAAAGAAAGAACTGAACAATAGGTTATGTACGATTTCTGTAAAAATGCACGCAACATGCTTGCAAAAACACGCCTTTTATGATTGGGTACACCTATTAAATTCTAAGGATAATGCCACATATATATTTATACCCACTGCAGACTCCAGTTAGGGATAGGCTTCTGTGATTTTACATTTATGCAATAAAAATCGGCTTATCTTGATATGTTACATTAACAAAGGTAATGCCATGCCCTGTTTTGTTAATGTATGTATTGCAAGCTCCTTAACTGCTGATGAAACTGTATTTTTTTTTCCACTGTGCATCCAAACAGGTGCCAAATTTCCCATCAAATGGACAGCTCCAGAAGCTGCTATGTATGGCAGATTCACTATAAAATCTGATGTGTGGTCATTCGGAATCCTGGTGTCTGAGCTGGTGACGAAGGGAAGAATTCCGTATCCAGGTGCAAAAAAAAAAAAAAAAAAATCTGCTAGGCAACAGGATCTGGGGAGCTTAGTGTAATGTAACAGATACACTGCTATACTTGGAAAACACACGAGTAGCAGATATGTGTATGTACAGATAGTATACAGTTTTACATCAGAATAAAGACACATTTAGATGTTTATAAAAACAATTCTCTCCCCAGATCTGCTGGTGTTTCTTTCTATTTCTTCCTCTGAGATAACTGTCACTTATTTTATCTCTACACTAGGAATGAATAATAGAGAAGTGCTCGATCATGTTGAAAGAGGGTACCGTATGCCCTGCCCTCCAGACTGCCCCCCATCTCTTTATGACCTTATGCTGCAGTGCTGGAAGAGTGACCCGGAGGAACGGCCAACATTTGAGTACTTGCAGTCCTTTCTGGAAGATTATTTTACAGCCACTGAGCCTCAGTATCAGCCAGGGGACAACATCTAAGACTGAGAAGGATTGTGGGATCTGCATTATCAATTAAAAATAAAAATCACCTTTTGGATCTTTGCTATATAAAAACCCAGGGGACTTTCCTCTTGAGAGAGATGATGATTGTTATTATGTCTGCAAGTGCTAGATTTATACCTAAGGATCCTGTGGGCAAAGAAATTCTGACTCCCTAAGCTTCCCTCTTCCCTCTTTGTTTAGCTTCACTGTAAATTATGCCCCTCTTATTTTTCAACAAACATATATAGAAAAAATGTGTCAGAATATTAGTGGTTCCCCAGTGGTAGATGTAATATGCTGAAGGATCTAGTTTTATAGCTGACGACAGGGCATGCCAGTCTAGGGGTGCATGTACTTCACAAAAAACATAGAACATTCCAAGGATGAACTATATATATATTTATTACCCAATATGTGTACATAGGATGCTGTAGGAGCCTGTCCACAATTTAGGCACACTGTCTTCCATTCATATCCACACCTAAACCATGCAGAGTGTTTGCTAAGATTACTAATGGAGAGATTTACTAAACCTGGTGCACAAAGAATCTGTTACAGCTGTGCATACCAACCAATAGGCTTCCAGGTTTTATTGCCAAAGCTTAAAAGAACAAGTGAAGTTAGAAACTGATCGGTTACTATGCACAGGTTCACTAGATTCTGTGAGCACCAGTTTTAGTAAATCTCCTCCTAAGGTTTCAGTGGTACAGTTCTCCCACATGTATTTGTATATGGCATTTTTTTATTTGAAAAATTCTGCTTGCCTCAGATATCAGCAACTTCATATTCAATTGCATTGAAAGGTATTACTGCATGCAAAACATGTTTAGCAAATTTCACAGGTATTTTAATGCATGGGACTGCACATAAAATATAAGTACCTTGAAAAATGTATAAATATCATAATCTACAGTAGCTGCTAAAATGGCATGGAATTGTATATAAACATGCATACTACAACCACATTTTATTTTATGTACTTACCGGTATATAGCGCAGTCAATTATGCAGTGCTTTATATATAGTACTTATATATTGTACATTCACATCAGTCCCTAACCCTCAAGGGGTGTACAATCTAAGGTCCCTAACTTACATTCATACATACACATACCAGGGCTGATTTACCTACCAGAATGTCTTTGGAGTGTGGCAGGAAACTGGAGTACCTGGAGGAAGCCCAGGCAAGCACAGAGAGAACATGCAAACTCCAGGCGGGTGGTACCATGGTTGGGATTTGAACCAACGACCAGGGGCGGACTGACAACTCATGGGGCCCCCGGGCAATTTGCCCAAACTCAAAAAAGCCTATGAAAAAAGGTACCAGGGGCATCCCCTACTGACCCCGGGCCCTCTGCCCGAATTTCCAAATTTCCAGTCCGCCCCTGCCAACGACCCTAGTACTGCCAGATAGAAGTGCTAATCATTTAGCTGCTGTGCTGCCCATGCATTTTTAAATTATGACTGGGCCCTTATTAGCTTTATCAGCAGAGCCACATTACATAACCACTTGTCATATTATTATACTGATTGCATGTTATCAGACAGTCATACTGTTGCCATTTCATCAAATTGCAAATGCTGCCATACTGCAGTCATGAAAATAATCAATCAGAATCTGTATTGCACTATATGTGCCTGCATTGGGCTTCTGAGTGATAGCTTGGGAAAGCCAATCATACATTGGCAGCTGTCAACATTTTTACTTGTCTTGCGATTTGATGCTGTGGATAAGGGAACTGGATACCTGGAGTGCTGCTTTAAGTAGAACTTCACCCAACAGGGGAAGTTCCGCTTGCTTGCATCCTCCCCCCCTCTTCTGTAGCAACTGGCACGTTTTGGGAGGGAGGGTACCTGGTTTTGACAGGTACCTGCTCCCCACTCGGATCGCCTTGGCGATCTGAGCAGAAGTTCTTCCTGCCCCTCTTTCCCCCCCGTAGCTTTATGGGACACATCACAGGTCCCAGAAGACTGTGGGACCATTCACAAAGCACAGTACGGCTCGTGCATGAGCAGTGGTAAACCAGTTTCCCCTAGTTAAGATGTCGGAACCAGGAACCCAAAAGTCAACTGAAGAATCGGCTCGGGCAACGACAGCGCTGGATCCCTGGACAGGTAAGTGTCCTTATATTATATACATTATTATACAATATTTGTAGCTGCTGGCTTTTAATTTTTTTTGGGGGGACTGCTGCTCCTCTTTAACTTGAAGAAACACCATTATGCATCAAGCACTGTGGGACAAGTTAGTTGTGAATTATATAATACTTACAGTCGGCAATCTACAGCTGTTGTTTGGCCCAGGCACACTTTCCCACCTAGTCTACGTTGCTGAGGCAGCCACCATTTTAGTAGATGTGCTAGTTATTACTGAGTAGTTCTTCCTGTCCTTAGACTGGGCCACTTGATGACACCCTCAATGTAATCAGAAGCAGGAGTGGGTAGGATAGCTGACAGCTGATGATGACACATTTCTGACAGGCACCTGTGAGTCTAGAAGAATGGAGGATGTCTGGGCACTGTCATACAGTATGTTCTTTTAGTGCTTTTAGTTAGAAATTAAATGCTAAAAGGTACATGTTTTACTGATTGCATTGTCACATTAAAATGTGCTAAGGAATCCCTGTTAGACAGCTACATTTTAGTTACCCTATGCAGAATATTATAGAAGAGGCGACCTTATAGTTGGCAACCCTCTGGAAAAGCACTCTTCTGTTGTATCTCATAGTAAGTCCAGTTCTGGTAACTATTATTTTGTGTCCTTTCCAAAAGGGATAGCATTTAATATACTGTTACCAAGCAAGAGCTACGATTTAGAGATGGGTACAATTTCCAGAGCAGATATAACAGGATAAGTATAAAGTAACTATATTTCTAGTTTTATCTATGGATAGTGAAAACAAACACGATTATCTTAGGTTACTGTAAAAATTACATATATATAGCGCAAAGGGCAACCCTAATGCACAGAAATTAGTTTGTTTTACTTGTAGCTTATTTATTCTTGCCTTATTTGACCACCTCTGGTCTTCTGTAGGCAAATCTAGCAGCAGAATCAAGTCTGTGTTATTCATGATGGAACCTCTGGGCCTATGCCTAGGGTGATAAACTAAGGGGATGGTATAAAGCCTCCAATCTGATCGCTTTTTTGTGTTTAACCTCCTCCAGTAGCTACATTCCACAATTATCTAATATGAAGTGTGAGCACAGGATGCTGAAGGAAGTCACAAATCTGAGTCTAGTTTAAAGCGGAGTTCCACTCAAAAGTGGAAGCTCCTCTTATTTGCCTCCTCCCCCCCTCCTCCACTGCCAAATTTGGCACCTTTTGGGGGGAAGTGGATATGTTTTTGACAGGTACCTGCACCCACTTCCGTCTCAGTTTGCTGCGGTGAAGTGACCCAGAAGTTCGGCCCCCCTCCTCCCTCCCGCAGTCTCCAGGGAATTTTCACAGATCCCAGAAGACTGCCGGACCAATTAGGAAGCGCAGCGAGACTCACGCATGCGCAGAGGGCACCAGGCTGCAAAGCCACAAGCTGTCACAGCCTGGTGCCCACAGTAGAAAGAAGGGACTGCACAGGTGAGAACATCGCTGTACTCCGGGACAGGTAAGTATATGTTTATTAAAAGTCAGCAGCTACGGTTTTTGTAGCTGCTGACTTTTAATAAACACAAAAATGGCTGGAACTCCGCTTTAATAAAGACAAAACCCTCTTCTTTCCTTTTTTTTGTTGACCAGGACAGTTAAAGTGTACCCATGGTCAAAATTAAAGGAGAAGTACAGCCAAATCTTTTTTGGATATACTTCTGTGGGTCATAGGAATGCAGTTTGTTCTGCATTCCTGTTTTCAGCTGACAGTGGACTAAAGTACGCTGTCGGCTGACGTCATTCAGCCGATCCAGGCTGGGGAAAGAACCATACTTCAATGTCAGGATCCACCACAGAGTCTGGAGCGGCACCTGGCTCAGACTCTCAGCGATCTGCTGAGAACCTGAGCAAGCAAGCCAGGGGAGGTGGCTGACCAGACAGTGGTGACTGGCAGTCCCACTCTCTGCTCACAGCGGAGAGGAGAACTCAGTGATCAGCGTTCATGTGATCGCTGAGTTCCCACTCTTAGAGCTGACGGGGAACAGATGCAGCATCAGACTGATACTGCATCCACCTAGGTAAGTATAAATAGGGAAAAAAAAGCCTTACTTCTCTTTTAAAAATCATATTTTTATTTACACATGTGGATGTGGAAAGAGACAGGCAGAGCTCACAACATGAAAGGTGATTTTTCAAGTAAGCTTATTTTGTATTGTCAAAAAATGTTTTTTATTGATATTACTATGCTGATTTTGTAATTATGAAAGTGTATGTTGTGACTATAAAACTCCTTTAAAAAGTAGCTTTCAGTGGCATATTGTTGTGTTAGTTTTTACCAAAATGATTACACCATATAAGGGTTGAAACTTGTACAAAAAGGAATCGTTCAAGTGTTCTAAGGGCAGAGCTGGAGAAGGACACCTTACATATAGTTAGTCTGGCTGAAAAAAGACAGAAGTCCATCCAGTTCAACCATAGAAAAAAAAATACCTATACTCACAGTTGATCCAGAGGAAGGCGAAAAAACCCCAGCAAAGCATGATAAAATTTGCACCTGCTGGGAAAAAAATTCCTTCCTGATCCCCCGAGAGGCGATCGGATATTCCCTGGATCAACTTTACCTATAAATGTTAGTATCCAGGTATATTCTGTGTATCTAAGAAACAATCCAGGCCTTTTTTAAAGCAATCCACTGAGCTGGCCAGAACCAACTCTTGAGGGAGTCTATTCCACATTTTCACAGCTCTTACTGTGAAGAAACCTTTCCGTGTTTGGAGATTAACTGCTTCCATACAGGGCACTTTTACCCCCTTCCTGCGCAGGCCATTTTTCAGGTTTCAGCGCTGTCACACTTTGAATGACAATTGCGCGGTCATACAACATTGTACCCAAACTAAAATTTTATCATTTTCTTCACACAATTAGAGCTTTCTTTTGGTGGTATTTAATCACCACTGGGCTTTTTATTTTTTGCTAAATTAACAAAAAAAGACCTAAAATTTTGAAAAAAAAACACACTTTCCTTTGTTTCTGTTATAAAAGTTGGTAAATAAATAATTGTTTTTCATAAATTTAGGCCAAGATGTATTCTACTACATGTTTTTGGTGAAAATAACCCAAATTAGGATGTATTATTTAGTTTGTAGGAAAGTTATAGAGTTCACAAACTATGGGATATATCTAAATTATTGATCAATCCTGAAGTACTGACAGCCAATCTAATTTCTTGAGGTCCAAAGTAGATAGTCCGACATATTTCATAAGAGGCATGGCGAGTTTTTTGACGTTGTAATCTTTTTGTCAAAATTTTTCGGAAAATGAAAAAATAAAAAAAAATTATTTTCACTATTTTTTTTTTTACATACTGTAACCAGTGCAGTACAGAATCATCATATACCTGGTGTGTCAGTGATCAGGGACACTGACTGGTGACAGTACGAAAAAAAAAATATATAATTTTTTTTAATTTAGTTTAATTTTTTTATTACATTTTTTTCTCTTTTTTTAAGATTGTTTTTCATATTTCACTATGACCAAAGTAGTATAATGTTACCATTGTACTACTTTGGGGAAGTGATCAGTATTTTTTTTTTTACACAATTTGCTTTTAGCAAACAATTATTTTGCTATAAGCAAGCATTTACCTGAATGAATTCGATTCATTCGGGACTTTTTTTTTTGGTGCTTAGCTGTGATTTGGCCACGGCTAATCACATGACACAGCTAGGTTGTGATTAGCCCAGCTTGTGCTTGTGATCACTGTGACCATTCACAGTAGACACACTAGTATACAATGGATGGCATGAAAGGAAGCCATCCATTGTATACAACTGTCATCTGACCTGCTGTGATTGGTCACAGCAGGTCACATGGTACTGGAAACAGGGCCGGTACACAGATCTGTCATCGGCCGTGTCTGAGGTACACAGCCGATGACAGATCGCGCCGCAGAGCAGCCCTGCGGGCAGGCAAATTATTCATGCCTGAAAGGACGCCATATGGTGTCTACCCAGAGGGATGAGCTGCTCGCCTGGCCACCTTTGTGCTATTGGCTGGGCAGGAACTGGTTAAGTTTCTTTTCCTCCATATGTAAAGAGTGCCCCCTTGTCCTCTGTGATGACCTCAGGGTGAATAACTCTACACTGAGTTCACTATATGAACCACTGATGTATTTATACATGTTGATCATATCCCCCCTTAATCTCCTCTTCTCAAGAGAGAATACATTCAGTTCCTCTAATCTTTCCTCATAGCTGAGCTCCTCCATGCCTCATATCAGTTTAGTTGCCCCTCTCTGCACTTTCTCCAGTACCCCAATGTTCTTTTTGTGAATTGGTGCCCAAAACTGAACTGCATATTCCAGATGAGGTCTTACTAATGATTTGTACAGGGGTAATATGATATCTCTCTCTCTCTCTCGTCTATACCTCTTTTAATACAAGAGAGGATTTTGCTAGCTTTAGAAACCGCAGCTTGGCATTGCATGCCATTATTAAGCTTGTGATCTACCAGAACTCCCAGATCCTTCTCCACCATTGATTCCCCCAGTTGTACCCCCCCTAGTATGTATGATGCATGCATATTCTTAGCCCCCAAGTGCATAATCTTACATTTATCAACATTAAACCTCATTTGCCACATAGTTGCCCAATTAAACAGTACATTGAGGTTGGCTTGTAAGTTGTAAGACATCCTGTAAGGACGTTATTCCACTGCACAGCTTGGTGTCATCTGCAAAGACTGAAATGGGATTTTTAATCTCAGACCCTATATTGTTTATAAATATATTAAAAAGTAAGAGTCCCAACACTGAACATTGGAGTACACCTCTGATGACCCTAGACCATTCAGAGTATGAATCATTAACCACTACTCTTTGAATACGATCTTTTAGCCAGTTTTCTATCCATTTACATACAGATTTTTCCAAGCCTGTAGACTTTACCTTACACAATAAGCGGTGTGTGGGGAACTGTGTCAAACGCTTTTGCAAATCCAAGTATACCACGTCCACCGCCACCCCTCTGTCCAAGGTTTTGCTCACCCCCTCATAAAAAGAAATCAGATTTGTTTGACAACTTCTGTCTTTCATGAATCCATGCTGTTGCTTAAAATATTTTTTTCCAGCAAGAATTCATCTATGTGGTCTTTTATTAAACTCTCCAGTATCTTTCCAACTATAGATGTTAAACTAACAGGTCTGTAATTACCTGAAAGGAGTCACAAGGCTCACTAGCATTTGAACCATGCAACCAACTATTTCAAATAGACTGACTGGTGAACTATATGATCCAGTGGAAGCACTGTAAATAAAGCTGATGACATCAAAACCTCAACAGAACATTCTGGTTTACATTTTTCTTTAATAATCAATAAATGGTTGGGGACAAAGAGATGGGTCATGTACAAATGGCTAGATTGTCTGTTTAATATGAGCTGTTCACACCTCACTCTGTAAACAAACTTTCAGTGATCCACCTTAGGTATTCTTTATACTGTTGCCATTGTCACATATTAGGGCCCTTTTACACTGCTCCACTGAAAGAAACGCAGTAAAATTTTATATTCTGGTGCGTTTTTGCTGCATTTTCTAGATGCTTGACTGAAATCATGCACCTGTGAGACATGTGACTCAAACAGCGCACCAAAACACAACCGCAGTGCATTTTTTATGCGTTTTACATTTATTGCAATGGGGAGGTGTGTTTTTGGTGCACTTTTTAAACACATGCCAAAAATGCAGCATGCAGGACTTTGCAGCACATTGGTGTAAAGAATTTAAGGATTTAAAGAAATACATTTTGAATGCATTTTTGTTCGCTTTTTAAACACTAAAAAAGCGTCAAAGACAGATATGTGTGAAAGGACCCCTAAGGGTGTACTTAACAAAACAACAGTAATGACTGTCATCACACATCACCTGACATCAGGTCACAGCAGACACTTCATGGATCCATGTGCCTTACTAAGCAGGTGTGATGCAAAGCAGAAACTACTGATTTTCAAACAATCAATATTTTGTGATGTGCCTGTTTTTTTTTATTTTATTTTTATGGTTGTAATTCTGAAATAATTAGTGGTAGAAATTATGAAATCTAGCAGTGTAGGAATGCAAGTGACAGAATTTGTACGCTTGAATGGTCTAAATGTGGGGGGTCCTGGGATGGGGGAGTGGATGACATATAACAGGTACAGTATATTGTACTATATATAATATTTGATATAGTTAAGAAAATGTACTCATTAAAAGTAGTATATATAGTGCTACCCTTTTAAGGCTGCTGGATTCGGGTCATTTAGCGTTGCATGGGCAGGTAACACACATTTTGCCACATATTCACACACACAGTCAGTAATACAATCCTTGAGCTGTTTTTTAGTTGTTTTTATTAAAGGGTTAAAAACTTGGATGGGGTCTAGGGGTATATGGGATGCCCAAGGAATTGCAAACTTGAGGACAAACTTCTTAGCAACCTGTACACTGTACAAAATATGTGAATCCAAAGAACAATATAGCACTGTCTTTTTTAAGGAGCACTGCAGTCCCTTGGTGCACCTTCTCTGACCCCGGATGAATCCTTCCTTTGCACCCAGCTACACTGAGAGTATCCCTGGGAAAGTGATTCCAAAAGCTAAAATTTAGGTAGTCCCGGATGAGAACTAGTTGGGTCTTACACCTGACCGCCCTCTCCCTTTATCTGACCCAGGGGGTGTAGAAGTACTCAAACTGTCCTGTCCTGTTAGCTTGGTGGGTTGGTGGCTGCCTTCAGGCCTTTTGCAGGGCTGGTTCATTCCCTGCTGCACAGGATGTCTTCCCTAGGAGACTTCGGGCAGTGGAGATCCTCCTTTCCAGCGTCCTCCCTGTAGGTAGGTTCTCCTCCCTGGCATCCCCTCCCAGGTTCCACACTCCAACCTTCTCTCAGTCCATTTCCTTCTTGACTCCCCTGCTGCACAGGCTCTGTTACATTTAACCAACTGGCGCAAGGTGGTTCTCTCGTTCTGGGAGGACATCATATGACGTCATCCCACTCTAACCGCGCGTGCGCGCCCCCGGTAGTGCACAGCGTGGGCGATCGGTGGTGCACTGTGTCCCTGGGCCACAGCGGATCACCGATCAATGGAAAGAGCCGATGACGTCGGCTCTGTCATGTGATCAGCTGTGCCCAATCACAGCTGATCGCATGTAGATAAGGAAATGCCGGTTATCAACATTGCTCTCCTCACAAACTGTCACCAATACCATTACTCAGAGGGGACATGTACACTGATCATCAGGGCACTGATGATCAGTGTGCCCTGATGATCAGTGTAGCCCCACCAGTGCCACCTGTCAGTGTCCATCCGTGCCACCTGTCAGTGCCCATCAATGCCACCTGCCAGTGCCCATCAGTGCCACATCACTGCCACATATCAGTGCCTACCAGTGCACATCAATGCCACATATCAGTGCCCATCTGAGCTGCCTTTCAGTGCAGTGGTGTAGCTAGGGGGGGCAGGGGGGTACATAAGTACCCGGGCGCAAGGTACAGTGGTGCCAAAATGAGGTCACAAGATCATTGCAGCGGCTGCAGCAGACGTGTCATCTGATACGTCTGTCATCCACAGTGAGTTATGAGAGGAGCCAGCCAGGAGAGGAGTGGAGAGGAGGGCAGTGAGCCGGGCATGTGCCGGAGGGGACAAGGGGAGAGCCGAGCCGGGTGAGTAGTGCCATGGATGAAAGGGGGGGGGCAATGTGATTGGGATGGGGGGGTGTCTACAGGGACCATATGAAGCGGGGGGGTGTCATGAGGTGGCCGTTCGTCCCCGGGTGCAAAATATCCTAGCTGCGCCTCTGTATCTGTGCCAGTCAGTCCCACCTATCAGTGCCAGTCAGTGCCGCCTATCAGTGCTGCCAATCAGTGCCAGTCAGTGGCACCTATCAGTGTGCATCAGTGCCGCCTATCAATGCCCGTCAGTGCCACCTAACAGTGCCAGTCAGTGCCACCTATCAGTGCCACCAATCAGTGCTGCCAATCAGTGTGCATCAGTGTCGCCTATCAGTGCCCATCAGTGCCAACTAACAGTGCCAGTCAGTGCCACCTATCAGTGCTGCCTATTAGTGCCGCTTATCAGTGTGCATCAGTGCCGCCTGTCAGTGCCACCTAACAGTGCCAGTCAGTGCCACCTATCAATGCCACCTATCAGTGTCGCCTATCAGTGCCATATATGAGTGCTGCCTTTCAGTGCCCATCACTGATGCCTGTCAATGGCCATCAGTACCACCTACCAGTGCCTCCTCATCAGTGCCCATCAGTGCCGCCTAGCAGTGCCCACCAGTGCAGCCTATCAGTGCCCATCAGTGCAGCCTCATTAGCACACATCAGGGAAGGAGAAAAATCACTTATTTACAAAATTTTATAACAGAAAATAAGAAAAAAATTTTTTTTTTTTTTTACTTTCAGTTGTACCCAAATTTCATATGGGTACAGTGTTGCATGACCGCACAATTGTCATTCAAAGTGCAACAGCGCTGAAAACTGAAAATTGGCCTGGGCAGGAAGGGGGTATAAAGTGCCCTGTAGGCAAGTGGATAAGGGTTGTCCTTGGTAATCATACCTGGCCTGCTGCCTCGGGATTGGCCAAGTTCGCTTAAACATGCAAATCTTGGCCTCCACCCCTCTTCCAGAAAGATCTCTCTGTTTCTGGAAGGGTAGGAGGGATCCAGAAGCCCTGACCTGTAGAGCCTCCCAGCCTGTCCTGAAGTGTACTCACTACCTCACTCCAAGGCTGACTCACCCCAAGCTGCTACCCAGCCTCTGACTAACAAAACAACAAAATCTAGCTACCTAGAGGGCACTACATACATATATATTGGGTTTTTTCTTCAAAAAATAGTATAGATCAGACTGACTTTTCTGCCTGATGTTTTTTTTTCATCAGTGAATAAACATTAAAGTTCATGTCAACACATGTGGATATATGTAGTTGTCGACTTATTAATGTGCTTACTAAAATATATAAATACTTATAAACATATGTTGGTATGTGTCAACACACATTTAAACACTATACGTGTTGATGTGCTTTTTGATGTATTTCCACTGATTTGCATTCATAGAAAATGCATCAGGCAGAAACACAAAGGTATAATGGAAATGGGCACACATTACTTCTTTTCAGAACTGGTACTATATAGATGATTGGACCCTGGGAGTATGTAATTACATAATTTGTTCCCATTGAGTTAGCATCAGAACTTGTACAAACCATTTGTCTCCTTTCACACTAGCAGTAGTGTTTGTTGCCCACCTAAAAAGTGATACGCAGTGGATCGCTTTTTAGGAGGTGGTGAAAGGTGGTGCACAGGCGTTCAGGGGGCTATACTGCTGCCTCCTGATGCTTGGCTTTTTTTTGGCTTTTTGCATGCGGTTGCAGTGCATTTCAGTTCATTTATGTGAAAGAATTTGACAGGCGGTGCACCACCTGTCAAACTCTGCATTTAGTGTTAAAATTGCCATGCCACTATGCAAAACATTGCAGCTGCAGCAATGTGTACACACCCTAGAGACACCATGCTAAATTAAAGGGGATCTGAAGCTGTACCCATAAAAGACAGACTAGTTACAAGTATTACCAGTGGTATGACTGCACCTGATCTTTCCCCCTTGCTCATTTACCATTTGAATACCAGGCAATTTTACCCCCTTCCCTCCCAGGCCATTTTTCAGGTTTCAGCGCTCTCACATTTTGAATGACAATTGCGCGGTCATACAACATTGTACCCAAACTAAAATTTTATCATTTTCTTCACACAACTAGAGCTTTCTTTTGGTGATATTTAATCACCACCAGGGTTTTTATTTTTTGCTAAATTATCAAAAAAAGACCGAAAATATTGAAAAAAAAACACGTTTTTCTTTGTTTCTGTTATAAAAGTTTGCAAATAAATAATTGTTCTTCATAAATTTAGGCCAAGATGTATTCTGCTACATGTCTTTGGTGAAAATAACCCAAATTAGGATGTATTTTTTTAGTTTGTAGGAAAGTTATAGAGTTCACAAACTATGGTATAGATCTGATTATTGATCAATCCTGAAGTACTGACAGCCAATCTAATTTCTTGAGGTCCAAGAATGTCAGAACAGTACAGATATCCCCCAGATAGGACAGATATCCCCAAATGACCCCCCAAATGACCCCTTTTTGCAGAGTAGACAGTCCGACGTACTTCATAAGAGGCATGGCGAGTTTTTTGAAGTTGTATTTTTTTTGTCATAATTTTTCGGAAAATGAAAAAAAAAAAAAAAAATATTTTCACTATTGTTTTTTTTTTACATACTGTCACCAGTGCAGTACAGCGTCATCATATAACTGGCATGGCGGTGATCAGGGACACTGACTGGTGACAGTATGAAAAAAAAATATATATATATATTTTTTTTTAAATTATTTTTAATTTTTTATTAAATTTTTTTTTTTTTTTTTTAAGATTTTGTTTTCATATTTCACTATGACCAAAGTAGTACAATATTACCATAGTAACATTGTACTACTTTGGGGAAGTGATCAGTATTTTTTTTTTTTTACACAATTTGCTTATAGCAAAGAATTACTTTGCTATAAGCAAACATTTACCTGAATGACATCGATTCATTCAGGGTTTTTTTTTTTTTTTTTTTTGTGCTTAGCTGTGATTTGGCCACAGCTAATCACATGACATGTGCATGTGATTAGCTGTGACCATTCACAGCTAGACACTAGTATACAATGGATGTCATGAATGAAGCCATCCATTGTATACAACTGTCATGTGACCTGCTGTGATTGGTCACAGCAGGTCACATGGTACCGGCAACGGGGGCCGATACTCAGATCTGTCATCAGCCGTGTCCGAGGTACACGGCCGGTGACAGTTCGCACTTCTGCGCGGCTCTGCAAGCGCAAAAAGTGCGCATGTGTGGGGAGGACGCCATTTGGCGTCCAACCCGGAAATCCAATACATTTTTTCCAGCCGCCTTTTGGCTATTGGCCGGGTGTGTATTGGTTAATATGTGTTGTTCTGCACTATATCTCTGATGTGAGGTACCACCTTACCCTAGGTTTACACCTAAGCATTTTCTGCAGCGTTTTGCAGAAACACAGTAAAGTCCCTTTAACATGACTTCCTATGGAACAGGTTCACATCTCCGCATATTCACCCGCTGCGTTTTTTGGAAAGGGTCTTTCTTGAACGCAAAACGTTGCATTTTTGGTTCTATAGACTTCAATGGAAATGCTGCAGAAAAGCATGTATTGCGTTTTTCATGCGTTTTTTCATTTAAAATCTGCCTAGCAACAAGAAAAATTAAAAAATAAAACGCATTAAAAACGCAGCAAAAATGAGTCAAAAACGCAAGTGCAAAAACACAAGGCAAAACACAATTCAGAAACGCCTCAAACGCAACCTGCGTAGGTGTGAACCTAGATTTAGTGAAGGCAGAGTTTTGCTTCCTTAAAGTAGTATTAATCCCAAAAAATAAACATTGATTATGCTGCAGCTTATCATTTCTAAATGTGGTGACTGCATTTTCTTTTTTAAGCTTTCTTCTATTTTCATCTGGTGATTTGGCCAGTAAGTCGGTTGTTTTTCAAAAGAACTAGCTCTCCAGCAGAATGTATCAGTTATGGAGATGAGACAAATAATCTAACACTAACAGGGGTGCTTACAATGATCAGTTTTTGTTTATATATGTAAAACGTTATCCCTAAAGGAAAAAAAGTTTGCTGTAATTGTTTATAAAATGTTAGCTGGAGTTTGGCTTCAGTTTGTTAGTGTATTTAAAACTGCTAGTACATTTAACATTCCCCTTCCCCCAGACTAACAATGCGGCTGTCCAGAAGTGCCCCCTGTGCTACTTCATCCAGATTGGGGGCACTGTAATACAAAGTGTGTTGCTAACCAGATCATCAGGTAAAAACATAGTGAAAATGCCTGAGAAAAGAAAACTTATGCAGCTACCACTTCTAGTGATTCGTAAGTTGCAATATATTACATTTTGGGTTTTGGGTTTTTTTTCTTTAAGTCAGAGCCTCCAGAACGGAGAATAGTGAGCAGCACATTAGCGACATTACCAAATCTCACTAATTCTTCTGAGACTGGCAGTCAGAGGCAGCAGTGGCTTAGATCTCACACTGCAGATATACAGCTATGAGACCACAAAAGTGCCTAGGTATATATATATATACAATTTTAGTTTTTTTCAGATATTTACCAAAACATATTCAAGCTATAGTTATATAATGGATATGGGCTGAAAGTGCACACTCAGGTTTAATTTGAGGGTATGTACATCCAAATTAGAGGAAGGGTTTAGGAATTACAGCTCTTAAGAGTAGCCATCCCTCCTTTTTCAAGGGACCAAAAGGTGATTGGACGGTGCTTCACACTACAGATGGACAATGATCCAAAATACATTGCAAAAGCAACCCAGGAGATTTTGAAGGAAAAGAAGTGGAATATTCTGCAATGGCCGAATCAATCACCTATCTCAACCCAATTGAGCATGCATTTCAATTGCTGAAGGCAAAACTAAAGGCAGAAAGACCCACAAAGAACAACTGAAGACAGCTGCAGTTAGAGCCTGGCAAAGCATCAGAAAGGAAGAAAGCCAGTCTTTGGTAATGTCCATGGGTTCCAGACTTCAGGCAGTCATTGCCAGTACAGGATTCTCAACAAAATATTCAAAATGAATGTTTTATTTATGATTATATTCATTTGTCCCATTACTTTTGGTCCCTTGAAAAAGGGGGGATAGCTATTCTTAAGAGCTGTAATTCCTAAACCCTTCCTCTAATTTGGATGTACATACCTTCAAATTACACCTGAGAGTGCACTTTCAGCCCATATCCATTATATAACTATAGCTTGAATATATTTTGGTAAATACCGGAAAAAAACTAAAATTGTGCCTGTGTCCAAATATACCGTATTTGCCGGCGTATAAGACGACTTTTCAACCTGTGAAAATCTTTTGAAAAGTCGGGGGTCGCCTTATACGCCGGTATATACGGCGAGCCGGTGTCAGGGCGGCACTT